TTTCATGTCACACAATGATGAAAGTTTTGTAATGTTTGACGCTCCTCCAGGAACCCCCATATCTCTCGGTTCCCGCTGCTTGCAGTTGCAGAAAATTAAGCAATTTAATTTAATAGGCACGGGGAGCGGGGGAAGTGCAACTGGAACTGGAACTGGAGCATATCCTCGGCGCTCTCTGCTGCTCCTGCTGTTGCAGGACAATAATTCAACACGTATTTAAATGCATATCCACCGCCCGCCCCATCCTCCCTCAAACACCACCAACTGTCTTGCAAATGAAAATTTACTGTGCATGTTGCCCCTGCCAGGACCAGAATCAGAACCAGAAATATATCCAAAGCCAGAGACACAACCGGAATCAGAGGCAGAAGAAGAAAGAAACCCCGACTTTGGGGACGGAATCTAGGAATACCCTGGCTAACCTGGTTTGTAATATTTTTTATATTCGGGGCGCCATATGATATAATGTCAGACATTCCTCAAGTAGCTAACTCCTTTTTTGTTTTTAATTTTTGTAATTATGTAATGCAGTATATAATATCTTTGGACTGCCTGTATCGACTCCATTTTGACGAGAACTATTAAAGCTTTTATATAAGGTTAATTTCGGAGAGCTCTATAAGCAACAATTTCGAAATATTGCAATGGCCATCTGAAAATGCAAAGTTTTCATACCTAATGGACTGATTTCTTTCATGTGAGGCAAACTTTTGCCTAAAAATATAGTACCCTCTATAGACCGACTTTTCCTTTCCCGTCCTAAAATATTGTTTGTGCCAGTTTTGGGTGTGTGTGTCTGTGAGCGTTTGGAAAAAGTTTGGCCAACAACTGGGAACTGAACTACAATTGCAGGCAAAGCGGCCAATCGAAAAGCTAAATCAAAAATGTTTGCCAGCTAGTCCGACTCTAAGCAACTAATTTCAGCTTAACCCAGTTTGGCCGCATTTCCAAAGCAATTACCGTGCTCGGGGCTTGATCTCTGATTTATGAGACCGACGACTGGCGCAACAATACAGCATTTTTGTCATTTAATGCAAGTGGAAGATAAATTATCGCAAACAATTCGGGTTGGCGGTGGGCCGGCCTATTGGAATATTGGGTTATTGGTTGGCCTGTCAACGGGGCGGAAATCAGGCAACATCCGCTCCATAAGCGGATATCCGGTTTGTTCGCACGTTCACGCTGTGCTGTTTCAGAGGTCCTGGTAAACGCAGGGGAATATGAGGGACTTTAATTTCGGCCACATTCCGCGCTCCGTTTGGCCCTTTGTACTCGGTTAAATGAAGTGAGAGATGAGCAGCAAAAGAGGGCTTAAAGCCAGCAAAAGGCTTGGCATTGGACTGGAATAAAGTTAACAAAATATTTAAAGATCAATCAAAACATATATATTTGCTGAAGGATAAAGAAAATCAGAAACATAATATGAATAGTATATTTCTAAGGATTTTTTTTATCATTGATATTTTTAATAAAGTTTCTTTAATTGAAGTTAATTTGAATTTTTTCATTCAAATAGTTGTCATTTACTACAATATAAAATGTAAATGGCTAAATCTTTTTTTTACCTTTTCTTAAATAAACTTATTACAGGATACTTTAAGGCAACTTTTCTAATGATTTCAAATCACTTGAGATTTGCTTGTCAGCGCAATTCAAAATTAATATCCAGTTATGTACAGAAACTTATTGCACGAGGGAGAAAAGTGTAGGAAAAGCACAAAAAAATCGACGAAAAAGGGTTTTCTTTCGAGGGATAAAATACCAAAAGCGAAGCATTCCTTTGCCTGTTTGCGCTTAAAGCAGCAAACCGCTTGTCTGTCACCCTCGCATGTCTAATTCAATTCCATTGCGATTCCTATTAAGCCCGACATCCTCGAGACGCCCATCGAAGTCACCATTCATTCAGCCATTCATTCAGATTTCGGCAAGGGAAACGCCCACTTCCCCTTTTTTTCACCCGGCCAAATGGCAAACAAGCGCAAATCGAGATTGCCGAAAGACGAGACGAGACGAAACAGGACAGGATCGGCTGAGTTATTACGCAAATTTAGCATCTGAATAGAAAATCGAATATTTCAAGTGGCTGGTAATGACATTTCAGCTCCTCGAGCATCTCGACGAAGCTGCGAGTTGTCAGTCGTCGGCATTTTTGAGGTAAGCATTGCCTTGGCCGGGCTGTGGTAATTGAAGCTGGCATGTGATTTATTAACTCAATAATGGCACAGATAGCTCAGCATCATCGCCCCACGCCCTGTTCGTTAATGCCAAGAAAAATTGATGCAAATTTTCGCCGAATTCCGGCTCACACCCCCAGCAGAATTCCACTTAAATTCCGCGCATAATTCGATTTGCATTCAAAGAGGGAAATAAGCAAATTTGTATTAATCGAAATGTATTCAACTCGAAGAAGGACAGGCCGCGAGCATATGCCTGCGGGCTTGGGCCTGGGTTCGATTCTTTTGTGGTTCGTTTTGGTTTGGGGCGTAATTGAAATATTCCACTAAGGGTGGTTGGGAAATTTTCGGGATGGAGACCCAGACTGTCCCCACAGCTCTTTGGAGTACACGGAAAATAAAAAAGGATGATCCAATACAAAACCTTTAATACTGTCGCGGGATCTCTACTTCATCTTACCAAAAGAAATAATATAAATGATTAAAAAAAATAAAATAATAACAATTTCTTTATAATATATTGTCCTGTACATTAAGGCTTGGCCTCCCTTTGTTACGATTAGCATGACCATTCCCTCCATCTAGACCCCGATAATTTATGGATCCTTTGGCGCATTGTCTTTCTTTGTCACTGCCATTGGACAATTACGCAATAAGCTTTCGGCTTTCTCCCAGATTTGCTGTCTATCTGGGGTTAATTATTTCTTAATGCCCGTCTGGGCAAGAGGCAAAAACATTTCCGCTTCCGCTGTCAGCCGACGCCATCATCAATCTATATAAGTATAAGTAACCGAAAGTCCCCCACTGCCCATTTCCCCGAAATTTCTTGGGGCATTGTCCAATATCTCAAATGGAAAGGCTTTTAAGTAGCTGTTGGCATTTTCGATTTACGACAACCACTGCCCTCTATATTGTATTAGCTGCAATAACAACCATAACTAAGCAGCTCCCCACTCCAAACTGGAACAATTGGTTTGCATTGCCAACAACCAAATCTCCGCCTGCCTGCACTTGGGCAAACAAATTACAAATAATTACATGGCAAGGGCCATGGCACAGGTGAAACAGTGTAGTCCCCCGGTTTTCCCCTGTCACCGAAACACTAACTGCAGGTGTAAACTGGCCCACTTTGTTGCATGTGCCGTTTGTTGTTAACGTCTGCGGCTGCTCCTCCTCTCCTTGCGGACCTCCTGATGATGATGATGATGGTGATGGCGCTTGTTGTTGTGGCTAACTGGAACTGACTAACTGTCTCATTGGTTAAAAGGCCTTGGCCAACGTCCTCGGCCAGCCCACCGCCCACGCCCCTGTTTCCCTTCGGCATCTCCATTATCAGGAGCTCGAAAACTCGAAGGGACTGAGAGCCATCTAATCAGAAATGCAATTATAAGGGCAAATGACATTGCCCTCGGAGCTGCAGGAATGCAATGGTCCTGTAACAAAATTTTTACATATTATTACAATACTAAAGTCAAGGATAAAATGATTATAAATGATTAACAAATAACATTAACGATTAATGTAAATAGATTTATATTTTGTGATTGATTTACAAAGGCTTAAAATTGCTAAGAAAAAAAAAAAATATATCGGTAAATTTAAACCGATTGTTCTTATGGCAGCTATGGGATAAAATCGTAAGGTTTTCAAAAATTTTAAGTACTCTATTGGTCAGTCTTAACCTTTTTAGATTGAAGATATTCACCAGACAGGATATTGATATATATTACTTTCTTAAGCGCCTTCTTTAAGTTCCAGCAATCCAAGTGCGAGTTTAATGTCCTTTTGTGTGCCACATTTGCATTGTCTTCGTTTGTTTGCGCGGTGATGGTGATGGCGACATCACTGCTGTCGTCAAGTCTCCTTGTTGGGCCATTGTCCGGATTCCGGACCCCGGACTCATTGTTGGCCCTTTGTTTTTGCGCCTCGCGTGTCTAATAAAGGCGCATCACAATGTGGGTCATTGTACGACTACACAGGCCAGTCGCCATCATATGGCTTTGCATTTGTCAGCAGCATGCAACTGCTGCAACATCAACACATAAAGCGCTGCTAATTGCAAACACACACATGCAGCACAACGATAAGCTCCAGAGAACCAAATAAGAAACAAAATATAGGAATTAAAGATTTTTAATGGAGTTATTAAAAACTCGAATGTAGAAAATGTTAAAATCTTCAAAAATTTCATGGGTTCAAAAGATTGCCTTCATATCTAACAATCATTTTTCTACTTTTAAACTTGTACAATTTAATTAGAAATACAAGACAATACAACAAGTTGAGTCATAAAATAAACTTAAGAAAAGTATTAATTTGTTATGCTAACAGAAAATCTTTCAGTGTCGTCTCTCGTCAGACTCTTTGTCTGCAAAAGCTGCAAAAGGAGATAGGAAGGGAAAAACTATGGAAAGTATGTCAGCCAAGCAAATCGATATGGAATTCTGAATAATTAATTCTTGGATTAATTGTGATTTTCTTCAAAGATTTCCTACACCATAAAGTGCTTAAATGCAATTGAACGACATATACTTTTGGGCCGCTAGGAGTAATACAACTTTCGCTCCAAAAGTAGGCAATGAAAATATGCAGAGCAAATTATCTACGTTGTTGATGAGTAAGTAGATAAAATGCGATTAAATGTAGAGAATTCTAAAATTTAAATATTAATTAATAGTACTAGTATTATTTAAATACTAATGAATTATATGTAACATTTTTTATTTATGCTTTTTTTTGCCTAAAATTTTTTTTAGGTGACATTCTATGTATATTATATGCATTTTTGAATGGCTAAAGACATTCTAAATGCTATACATAGAAATATTTGTATGTAAAACTTTTGTAACATAATTATTATCGGGACAATGAAGCTGTAATGTAATAGTATGTGAAATATATTCTAGCATCTACCGCCCCAAGCAGGACCCAGATTAAGACGGCACCATTTATCGCCTGGGAAATAGATCGGTTAGACTTAAACAGTCGATTCTAGTTAGTGAGGAACTTACGAGGATTAGGGTTTGGAATCGGGAACTGGGGTCTCTCCCAGGGCTTCTTTTGTGTTTGCCAAGGCCATTCCCAAGATTTGACCAACCCAACTATGCAAACCAGAACCAAAAGCAATGCAAATGTCTTCATTTCTGTACTGAAATTCAAGCTAATCATCTTTTTATAGGTCTGAAAGGTGACTAAATGATTTGCAAGGGTTATAATAAGATTACGGATGACACGGTTAAGTGTTGATACACTCTTATCATAATCACTATATCAAGGAACCTTTGACATTTTATATCTATTTCAATTTATTCCAATTATTTTTAATTAAATAAATATATTTATGAAAATATTGTAATTTAAAAATGATTCGTTATGGTGAATATTTAATTTTTTTTTTTAATTAAATGTATTTAATCTATGAACCTATTTCAGAAAATTTGTAATGACATAATCACATTGGCTTGCTCAATCTATATTTTCTTTCCATACGGTTAAATTAAAATATTTTCCACATGACGAATATAGTAAACAAATTTAAACGTTACCTTTACCAACTCTACGCCTTATATAATGTAGGCGTATATGATTATGAAGGTGGCAAATAAATATTACAAATGTCAAGGTTTTTATTGTTTCGTTATTGCCACGTAATGCACAACGTTCGTTGATTTGTATGCCATCCTGCCATCGTGCCAGTATTAACCCAGAGCTAGGAGCCCCAGATAATCACCATTCAATGACCACAATATGTCTTCTTTGCCGGGCAACTGACATTAACATGCAGGGGTAATCACTTCGCTCCGGGCCATGGAAATCATGAAGGTTTGGTTGCAGTCCGATGGTCCGGCAACCGCAGCTCGAGGAGTGAAAGGCCGGCAACGAACTTGCAGCTGGTTTCTGCTCTGATCTGGTCTGGGATTTCTAACCTGATTCAATGAGCCTAAAAATCTATCACTTCCTCGGCATACCAATTCTTTTTCTTTTGCAGCATGTGGACCTTTCTTTTCGCCACATTTTTGCCCATCAAAATGCTAAAACTTGATTGACCAGCAGCCAACCTTTTCCTTGTGTGGGGATACTTTCTAAAGGCCAAAAGACAAATTGGAAATATGTTTCAAATGGGCCTGGGGCAAATTTTGTTTTGCATACACATTCTTAAGCTCGAGAAGCTCCATAGCATATTTACAAAGCTTCCCAAAAAACAATGCATCATATTTAAATGACGTGGTACTTTTAATGATCCTACCTTTAATATATTATATATTCTACATGCTTTAACCAAACTTACAATCCTTTATTCCTTATCTACGATATATATTTATTCTAACAGGATAAGGAGATTTTTCTCTCTTTTCTGTTTTAAATAATGTCTCTTAATGAAACAATTAACTTACTTATTCAGATTTAAAATAAAACGTTATGCATTTTAGACGTGACAAAACCAATAAACCTTTTCATTTGAGATGATGTAATGTATTCGGACTATAAAAAGAGATGAGGTCCAAAGTTAGCCCAAGAATGAAGCCCCAGCTGTCGATCGTACTAGTCCTTCTTTGCCTGGTGGGAATGGCCCCTGCACAGGAGCTTTGGATTAGGCCGAAGCCTTATCCCGACAGACCACCACCATATTAGCATCAGTGCTATAAATGGTTCCCAATCGAGTAAACAACGAAGGAGTATAATCAAAGTTACTCCAAAGTAGTGTCATCTTGATTGAAAGGAAATCGGCTTAAATGATGTATGGAACCTTTCACAATTTAAGGCCATATCATTATTAAAGAATAAATGACCAACCCATATTTACTACCATTTTGTTTAAGTATCGTTATCGTGGGAGTAAGGTTTTAGACAAATTCGAACACGCCTCCGTCCTAGCCAAAAAAAAAATGTTTTTAAAAAACTATAGTTTTAATTGTCCAAAGGAAAAAAATCATGAATAGAAAGTTACCTTCTCAAAGAAAAAGGTTTATTTTTTGTTAAATGCTCATTTTAGAAAAGACTAGAAAGGCCTTTTTTCAGTGAAATGTAAAATATTTCGAAGAAAAAGCATTTGGAAATAAAATCATATACATATTTTAACATTAAAATAAGATACCATAAAACTCTATCGGTTCAACTCAAAATCGGCCAAAAATTGTTTTGAAAAAGACACACATAAATTGTGAGCTTAAACGAAGACGCCTCCGAATAAAAATGTTTCTAAAAAATCGATATTTTTGCTTAGTTGAGAAAATCTTTCCTCTATTTTATATTTCTATCAATTACTGAAGAGTAAAATATTTAGAAAAAAACATTTGGAGATAAAAGCATATACCTTCAGAATATATTTTTCATATTTCAATAGAAGTATTTATTTCAGCATCTTAATATTTGTGACGTTGACAGTTTTAAATAACCTAACATTTTCAAATCCAATTTAATTTTTAATGGGGATTAGGCGTGACAAAACTAATAGAAATATTAATTTTCGATTATATAATATCAACAACTATAAAAAGGGGTAGTAAGTGCAAATAAGAACCCAATAATGAAGCCACAGGTGTTGCTTGTAGTGGTCCTCTTTTGCCTGGTTGGATTGGCCCCGTCACGGAGACCGCCAAAGCAAAATATTGAGCTTTGGATAAGGCCGAAGCCTTACCCCGAAGCCAACCCTAATTAGAATCACTGTAAGTGCTTTTCAATCAAGTAAACAATGAAAGTTTCTTTTTAAAGTTATTCTCAGGTTGTGTCATCTTTATTGAAAGGATACGGTCTTTAATTATGTATGGAATCAATATATACAAATAAATGAGCTTGCATTTTGGTTACATTTTGTTTTATTATTTATATAATGTGGATGCACATTATATATTTTTTATTTATTTACAAGAGCCAAACAGAGCCTTGTAGTCTTGAATAATGAATTTTAATGATATTGCCGGGACGTTTACAGTTTTAAATAACCTAAACCTATACACATTTAAATAAAACTGAAAGCAGTTTAGACGTGACAAAACTAGTATTTATTTGCAGTTCTATAATATTTGACAAACTATTAAAAGTTGTAAGTCCTACTGGCAGCCCAATAATAAAGCCACCACAGTTGTTACCTATAGTCGTCCTCGTCTTATTTAGCCTGTTGGAGAGAGACCCCTCCTAATTGTTATTAAAGGACTTTTAGTGATGTGTGGAACAATTATAAACCAAATGAATAACTAAAAAATTAATGTTAAAAAATATATACTATTATGTTCTTATTCGTAAATTGTGTTTTTATACCCGTTACTCGTAGAGTAAAAGGA